GCCGGGCGCGAGAGATTGTCCTCGCCCGGAGCCATCGAAAGCTGGTCGTCCGTTTTCGTTGGAATCCCCGCTCGGGAATCCCCGAGAAAACGCCGGGCCAGCTCACTACCGGCGAACGGCGACGAGATATTCGCACGCGGGATATCGAATCTTGGACGCCCACGCATCGATCCAGCCGCGAGTCGCCGTTATTCGCGCGCGTTCACCTCGCCCTAGACATCGGTTCCTCGGCAATACGTGAAACACGATGATGGTCGTTGTATCGACATCTTTATTATCTTCGTCGAGATATATCGCCGTTTTTCATCAACGCTGAAAGTGACATCCGCGATCTCGACACTGGGGTAACCTCGTCGGCTTCTCAGGCTCGCATTATGAAACCAAATTTAACAAAAATCCTAACAGAAATTTATTAAGATCATTATTATGAGAATTATTCTAAATAAAATTAATTTAAATTTTCAGAAAAATCGTGATTTTCACACTTTTTTTAATTACTCGCGCAATTATTTATTATCAACTTTGATTGATTTTTGTCTTTGTGGACTGGTTGCCGCCAGGAAACCGGTCATCTTATTAGATCAGACTGATAATAGCGGCGGATTCAACTTTTTTTCTGAATAATAGAGGAACGGGAGTTCTTCAGATATAGCGTTTTTCACAAAACGGAAGTGCGGGTGAGCGAGAGAAAACGCGTGCAGGCCTAACGTGTAACTCTCGAGGTTAACGACAAGGACGAAGTCTCATGGTCCGGAGATCGTTAGCCGTTCGGGAAAGCAGCGAGTGGTCGGATATTATTATTTAAACACGATATCGAAAGATACCGGCGTAATGACGTAGCTGGAATGCGCGTCGAGTTAGCACGCACGCAGGAGCGTGGGTCCGGTAGTGTTTCGACGTTCGCAAAAATTCGCCGCCGCCGGGAGATGCGAGATTCGCGCGGTGACGGGTTATGCGAATGGTCTCGGGGTAGCCGTCGATACGACAGCGGAACGAACGTACTCGGTTCTCCGGGAAAATCGCGCGGCGGCCCATCGCCACGGCGACGAGTATCGGGGCCGCGAGTAACCGCGATAAAACCGTGGATTGTGCGTGCACGCGCCTGTATCGGCCATCTACTACGCACACGGGACGGAGGCACGATAATGCGAATATAATGACGACGTTGCCGCGGGTTAACAGCCTGCGCGTTGCATCGTTGGTTTAGTTTCGCGCGCGAGCGCGTGTAGATGCGTTTGTGTACACGCGAGCGACACGTACGGCACGCATACACACGGTGTGTCGAAATTCAATACCGCGACGCGGAACCGGCGGGAGAGATGATGCGCTTGGAAATCGAGGCGCGAGACGGGATGATACGTGACTTTCGCCGCTCCCTGGCCGTGACACGCGCGCGATTTCTTGACGAATTCTGCGAGTTGTGCGAAATCGCTCGTAGATAGACGGTTCGACGCGACGGCCGTGCGAAGAGAGAGCAGAGGCGAGGTGATCTTGGTGAACTTCGCTTCGCAAGCACGACTTCGTGTTTAAAACGAGTCCCATCATTTGCGGACTTGGCTTTCGCTTAACCTCGTTTCCCGATAATGTGATTAGGTAATATTATTGTCAGATATGCGACACGCCGTATGTATCAGGATAACATGATTTAGCTAGCTTTCTTTCGCCGTGTGAGATACCTCGCGAGATTTTGCATCAGCGCGAAGGTATGCATCTTTTTATATATTTATATACGGATATTAATCACATCCTGACAGTAATATGTTACATGTATAGACTTACGACACGTACACGCGTTGTATGTCGCTCGCTTATTTCTTTGTTGCGCAAAAAAACAGTTGGCTCGATGTAAAGGTTGCTATTATTGCCTGTTGAGACAACTGATTTCCTGGTTACAATTAGTCTAAAGATAGCAAATAAAAATTGGTGGGGGGAAAAATGGTGTTATGATAGTATTATGTCCTCTACTCGCCTGATTAACATTTTGTATGGTAACTTTGTTAACCAATATTTTAAATCGGAAACTTAATGTTTACATTCCTCAAATTATTCAATCGATTTTAGAGCCAAAGTTATGAAATATTTATTAGTTAGAACGTTGTGTATACGCATCGTAATTAAACGTGAAATAACGAGCAAATCACTCAGATGTGTATATATTCGCGTGGTAACACGTCCAAGTTTGAAAAGAATGAGGAAGTATGTATAATTAAATGTTTAAAACGCATCTTAAAAACGTACCTTGGAAAATGTTTCAAAATGCTCGTAAGTAAAAATGCGTCGTAATAAAAATATCGGTTATTGCGTATTAGCATATTATCGTCACTGCGCACTAGCGAGCTACTAAATAAATGACACCATAAATAGTAATCACTAGAATTCGTCACAGAGTAAGAAATTTTGTGTTAAATTCAGCACATTTCACGTGTCCCAAACAGTCCACAAAAATGTTTGTATTAATCTAACACAAGATGAATATGTTGAAGAGAATGCGAATATTAAGTAAAAAATGAACACAAAATTAAATATCCATAACAAGCTGAAGTCTATAAAATGTGTTATTTTAATACTTACACATATTGAATATCGACTCAACACGAAATATTCAAGTAAATTAACATACGGGTGTATTGAAAATTTAACACAAGAATCTTAATATTTCAACACAGGTGCAAAATGTTTTTTTACTGTACACCTAAGTGGAGATATTAAAAGGGGGCCATTACATAATACAAGAGTCATAATACCACTTTCTCCTCTAATAGATTTAACAAATGAAAGTAATTCACACGCATGAAAGGCCAGAAAGACGCGCGAAAATCGACGATATTTACCATTTTCTCTTGATACAGGAGAAATTTATGACGTTACATTTCTGCATCGAAATCGCAGGTGTTGCTACTCTCTGAGTGCTCGTTGGATCCGCGAAGGCGCGCGCGGGTCTTTCTCTACGCGGACGCTCGGAACTCGCGCGACCAATAACCGGCACACATTCGGCGAAATTTCGCAAGTCGATCCGTCGTTTTTCTCGCGATCCTATTTACGCGATTGCGTAATTCGCGTGTAAACATTCACGTAGTACGTGACCGCGCACACGGCGTATCTGTTCGCCGCCATGCGGCTATCGTGCATCAGCTTTATTGCCGCTCGTATCGCGTGCCGAAATAACAAACAATCCCGAAATGCATTTCGCAAGCAAGTTACACGTCGGTGAGAGACGGAGGACAATGACGGCGACGACGGCGGCGCCCCTCTCCAGTGCGAACGAGTGTAACCGTGAACTGGAATAATTGCGGCAAGTAGCGCGCCGACGGTGCTCGGCGGCGATTGCGATCGGCAACGCGAGCTTGTATAATTGTGAGGAAGTAATCAGCCGCGATTAACAATTAACTCGGCCGAGGGAAAGTCCGGCCGGGACACGCTCAAAATTTTACACTTTCTCCGATACCGCGCGGACGCGCGAATAACATCGCGTGATTACGCGATTACTACGATAGCGCAGGGAATGCCTTTCGGAAATTTGATCCCAAACTTTCGATGCGCGGTTGAAACGTTTCGACCGCGGTTATGGGCGCGGATCAGGCATTCCGCGCGAGGCTAGGCGGATGCCGAAGCTCCGTGCGATCCTTGTGCGAGCTTTCCGCGGCGTTTCTAAGGTTTCTCACGTTGCGGGTGACTCGGAACTTTTACGGACTTCTTTCTATACGGGAAGGAATTTTCTGTCGAATTTAACACATTTCGTATGTTCCAAACGGTCCGCATAAATTTTCGTGTTAATTTAACACAGTGAATATGTTGGAAAGTAACACAAATATCATGTTGAAATTAACACAAAATTAATGTTCATAATATGTCAATCGACGTCGAAAATGTGTTACTTTGACACTTACACATGTTGAATATCGACTCAACACAAACTAGTTGAGATAATATAAACACAATAACCATGTTAAATTGTACGGTAAATAACGTGTTAAATTAACACGCGGATATATTAAAAATTTAACACAAAAATCTTAACAAGGAACGATTTTCGCCCACATGTTTTTTTAAATGTGTAAATTTCTTTGAATGAAATTTCATTTGAAACGAGTGAAAATTCACCCCGAGCGGTAATGAAAATACTGTTATTCGGATGGAATGACATTTTATTTTTCATAAAAGTGAATGTTCCAATCGTGAATATTTCACTTGCTTCGAGTGATTGTTTCATTCGATCGGAGTGAATGTTTTACTCTAAAAAAAGAAAATGAATTTTTGTATTTAATACGTAAAGTTTCTTTAACATGTAAAGTATTCTTTTTTTTGCGTTGCTCTTAGTAAGAATTTGTCTCAGAATTTTCTCAATTATATAGTTTATCGATTCTATTTAGATTGTATTTGAAAAATTTGCCCGCCATTAGTTGGGTTTGAATTCAGAATGGGATTTTGAGTCTGCTGCGCCTCGCATTACGTCATCTTGCCATGTTTGGCAAATAAATTTTGTATTATCTATAATCCCGAATCCTGCAGGATTCTCCCTCCCTCCTCCAGTTAGATTTCATAATAGAAATATAATATCATCGCGTGAATTGGTAAAGTTTTTTGAAACGTTAGAATGAAAAGTCTCATCGATTCGAGTTACTTGGCTGTCACTCTATTTTTCGAGTGGAGATTTCACTCGAAGAAACTTGGAGAGTTTCATCACGACATATTTGCTTTCGTGCCAACCAGCTCTTTGTTCCGTTCCGAAACCCGCGTTTAAGCGGTTTGTACGCTCGCGTGAAAGATCGTCCGCTAACTGGGTTACGAAATTAATGAGGCCTAATGAGCGAACGTACACAGATTACTGTTTTGTGTTACTATCATTACCGTTACCGTCAGGATTGCCCGCGAGGCATCCGCGAGGAGACCGCGATGAACACAATGGAAATCCGAGTCGCCAGTCGAATCGATCGCATCGTCGTGAAAAATCGGGAGTGCCATCCCCTTTAAAGTCGGGCCTTTCTGGTTTTTCGTTACAGGGCACGATGAGCCTAACCAAACGCATAGAGGAGATCAGGTTGCTCGAATCACGTAAGAGTGCCCGGCTGGCCGATCAGGACACTGATTTCGCCAGACTCGCCGATATGGGCAGCGACCGTAAACGGGCATCCTCCCACTCTATCGACGTGCCACACGTGATGGGGTAAGTTTTTCTCCTTTCCCTATTACTGTCTCTTATCTCAAGCGCTTTTATGCTGGGACAGCAGATAAGGTCGTACGTAACAGCCACCGATCGGCACTAAAGCTGCGCCCTCGCGTGCGAAATTGTCTTTTTAAATGTCATTTGGAGGCAGAATGCAGTTTGCGAAACGGCGCGATTTCATCCGGGCGATTATGCTAATTCTGTACACCTCGGTCGGTGAATTTGAAAATTATTCAGCCGAGCCGCGCTGTATTTCGAATTTTGCACCGCGGACTATCTGTTGCGCCTTGCTTCTGCTCTTTTGCGTCATCTAGTCGTATCTAGAAGATCGTGATTTCTCGTGGTCGCACTTTTATTCCGGGAACACTTATTTCAAAAATGCCACGGGCGAAATCGTGCGTCTTCGCGCATTCTGTATTCGGAAATTTCGATGAAGGAGAAGCGAGATCCTCACGTCTTTGCGTTCGAATATTTCTTCGTTTCCTCCCACGCGACCGACATGATTATTATTAAATGGGAATTTCCTCATTCGAAAGACGAGATGAGAACCATTGGCGAGATACGACGACCACTGTTATCCTTCTCCCGGTCCCACCAAACTCTCCTCCACAAGCGTCACCCGCATGAACTTAACCTGCGAAAGCACCCTCTGGATGTTGTGTTGTAAGAAATCCTTCGCCAACCCTCTCACCAGCGGGATATCGTGAGTACCGATTTTTATTCACACAGATATCACCGCTAATTTCCGAACTGAAATTTTGTTTCTGCGTTAAACTCGCACATTCCTTGTCGAACTTGACAGACCAATGGGGAGTCTCGAGATACAACATTATACAAGTTGTCGTCCTGCGTTGGTGCAACAAATGATTCAGAATTTTGAATTCGATGCTTATGATCAACTTATACTTGTGAGATCTGAACTTATATGAAATACTTGTAATAAAACAAGTAACATTTACTTGAATACAGTATGCATTTTTTCGTGTACACGGCCTGTATTTTTAATCATAGATCATTTACGATATTTGATTGAGTGCATAATTATAGATTCGTAGATCGTTATTCAAATATTTGGATCGATATATCTGCATCAGTGTTGCATTTTATATTATAACTGCACTTAACTTTTTTTGTTTAACGTAAGTTTTTTGAGCACCGATCTAAATATCGGTTCGGGAATATCTTTTTATCCTCAGTAAGTTCGTCAAACTTTCGTTAAAATCGGCCGCGTCATGAATGATAATCTCATATATTTGAAAATATATGCAATACTGTCCGTGTTGTGACGTTCCGCGTCCTGGATGCAATATTTTGCACCTCGCTGCTCCGTCGTGACGTTCCGGAAACAAACCCACGGCACTGATACTCACGTAGGTACAGCTCGATCGGTGTTATTAATTAACGCGACACGCGATTAAATATTTCAAAAGCCGATGGGACATTTTAATTACACGTTATTGGGAACTGTAATTATCGGTTCGGCGACGTAATGCCGCGCTCTCCAACGCCCTCGGTTACGCAGAAATACAAGACGCGCGAGAGAGTAAACAAAGCAATCGGGCAAAAAGGGCAAGGTCATTTACCTTCAGTCGCCAATTAGTCAGCCGCCGTTGAGCGTGCGAGCGATCACAACAATCAACACTTTCAAAACATCGCGGACTTTCAAGGCGATCGAATGTATCGCGTTGTGCGACGCCAACTTTTCCGAATCTTTCCATTGCGTTTCAAGACGTCGAGCGACGCGCATACCGTGGCGCGCGTGTATCTGCATTAGTTGTTCCTGTCGGGTGATTAGAACGTCTCTAGGCTCTCGAATACTTAGACCTGGTTCTTCCATTTTCTTGTTAACTTACGATTTAGGCTCAATCTGATGGCGATGTAAGAATTGTTTTTCTATATTCACGGTTAATCGTTAAATTTTCAAAAGTTACCGCATTACCAAATCGTGTCGGTTTAATGATTAACTATGAATAGAAAAATGCTATTTTCTACATTATCACCAGTTTAAATGTAAATTACAAGTTCATTAAAAAATGAAAAACCAGGTCTTTCTAATCGGGCTTTCGTAGGTATCGCTTTAATTAAACACGCGTTTCTCCGATCAAATCGACGCGAGTGTCAGTGACGGTGCCAGTGTTGCGAGTTAGTATCCGGAGTGCGACAGCGGAACAGTCGAGATCCAGGATGCTGAATCGAGAAGCCAGGATGAAGGATGCAGGACACGAGACGTGGGCAGTGACACGTCATACGTTCCAGGTGAGTGTGTGAAATCATTTAAAACACATAGAAGGTTTCCGAATTTAATTGACGTTTAATAAATTCACCCGAGTCGAAATTCAAGCTGGTATTCTGGTAGGCCGCGTCGTCGCTTGACAGATTATAGCTCGGTAATTATAGATTCGTGAATTTGATTGTTTATGAATCTACATTTGCGTTTATTTTAAACAAGAAATATTGAACAGTCGAGTGGTTCATAAACACGAATATCTAATTAATTATGTTCTCAATCGAACATCGTGAATAATTTACTAAACTATGAATACTGGCCTTGTGTAGAATCTAACGTAAATTTTGCAAATACTTATTTTTACGCCCCAACAACGCTCTTTGGGTCACGAATTCGATGTTGTTTACATTTGTCAATGTTTTTCTTTCATTTCTATTCTATCTTGTTTATTGTATGGAATCTAAATTTATATTTCTATTGCCTCTCTTTCGTTTCTTCTTTTTCGGCTCTTTTCAAGTTTCAAATTCCACTGAAACCCTCAACGAAACAAAATGTTAGTTACAAAGTATGAAGTATGAAGTACAAAGTATATGTAAGTAATGAGAGTTACAAAGAAAGAAAATCCTTGATATACTCATCAAATATTTAACCATAAGAATTATTTCATTGCTTACCTCATATATTCTACCTGCAGTCGAGTAAATTACGTTGTTAATATATTGTTGATTAAATGTAAAGATTAATAGTAAAGATAAATAGTAATAATAAATGATTAATAGTAAAGATTAAATGCAGGTGGAGTACTGAAACAATCGAATATTAAATAATTCTGAAATAATTTCTTCGTTGTAAGGACAATTCAACGCGGAGAAAATCGAGGCAGCGATCATTTGTGGCATCAAGATGCAAAAATAGTTTATATATTATATTTAGAGATTCTTTATTAGTCTTTCAAGTTTGATGGAATTTGAAAAGGTTAATATGGAATTAAAATTTCGACTCGAGTTTCATTACGTTTCTGTTACTCGATTCGTCCGCGGTCTGGAAAATAACGAGCATGGAACAATGCTGAAAGTTCGCGCACGATAGGAAACCAGAAAAAAATATCGTCGATTCAAAAATATAACATACGGAAAATATTAATTGGGTAAACGAATAGTGAGTTCAGTAATGATAAACGTTTGATGTTCAACGGCGAGTTAATAATTTGCGAGGTTTCCTTGAAGCACAACATTGCATTTAAAACGAGAATTGTACGAATCATGAATTTCTCTCTGATTTCAAACTGTTTACGTGTGAGATACTTCGGAACCTACAGAAATAGCTTCTTAGCATCGTACACAGAAAACAATTTTATGTTAAAACAGTCCATTGAAATTTTGTGTTACGTTGATAAGATGAATGTATTAACATTATATTTGTGTGTTTTTTAACACATATTTGTGTACTTTTTAATACATTACTCATATTAAAGTGAGACAAAATTTCAGTGAATCGTTTTTGACATAAAATTTTTTACTGTATGTACAACCGGCTACGTACAAAGATATGTGACAATTAAGATATTACAATTAGATTACCGACACGTATCAAAAGTACGAAACTTCCAACAAAGTTATCGCAAATCAAAGTATTGAAAGGTGTCGACAAGCCCGAAAAGGTGAGAAGATGACGTCACGTATAAAGGGGAAAAAAAAACTCGTGCCGCGCGGTCGTTTCTCCCCGCGCGATAAAAGTGAGGCAGGCGCGAGAGATTTTTTGTACGGCTTGACGTACCTCCGTTGCGCCGGACATGCGTCTTTTTTGCGCCAAAGATACCCCGATAACCGCACAGAACAAAGGTCACTGTCATTACGCGACACCTCGCCGGGATACTTTTTCTGTCGAGCTTCTTTCCCTCGTCGTTCAATGCCGGCAGATACCACTGGGTCGGCCGACAGGTCTACGTACACGTGCATCGTATATGTGTGTGTGTGTGTGTGTGTACCTATATAGATAACATATTGCACATAGCCTTGTCCTAAAGATCGGTCGTGTTCGTCGCTGAAGATAAAAAGCGCGTCCGCGCTGTATGAAGCGAGAAACGAGGCGGCGTCCGTTCGCAGGTCGTTAGACCGTGAGCGCACCCTCGCCGGACACCTGTCTCTCACCTTTGTACCTTGCACGCACCCCCCCCCCCCC